CTTTTGTGGAAGGAATGGATGCTGTGTGCTCTGCACCAAAGACGAAAAGGACCATCAAGACTGTTACCAGCAACAAGTCCAAAAGCCAGGGTCTGTCATGGTCTGGGGTTGTGTCAGTGCACTTGGCAAAGGTAACTTTCACTTCTGTGATGGCACCATTAATGCACACATACAGATTTTGGAGCAACATATCTGCCTTCAAGACGACATCTTTACCATGGACGTCCATGCATATTTCAACAAGACAAAGCAAAACCTCATAGTGCCACATTACCAAGTCCTGGCTGTGGAGGAAAAGGGGGTGAGTGCTGGACTGGCCTGCCTGCTGTCCCGACCTGTCCCCAATAGAGAATGTGTGGCACATTTTGAAATGCAAATTGAGTCAAGGAAGACCCAGGACTGTTGTGCACTTTAAGACGTGTTTGCAATAAGAATGGGACAAAATGACACCTGCACTTGGTGTCCTCAGTCCCTAAACACCTTTTAAGTGGAATGGCAACATCACACCATGGTAAATGCTGTACTGTCCCACCTTTTTTGGAATGTGTTTCAGGCATCAGAACTGAAGTGAGTGTTTATTTTGATCAAAGAATAACATTGATGAGGCATCACATCAAATAATGTGCTGCTGTATTGTTTTCAATGTAATACAGGACACATAATTTACACATCACAATTTTTATTTTTAATTTTGATTTTACATACTGTCCCAATTTTTTCTGATTTGGGGTTGTACAGTGCTATGCCATTCATCTCAACTTTTAAATAAGCAATTAATATTTCAATAAAATGTTAGTGAAATTTACCCCTCACTATTTCCCAGAATGTAAATTGCTCAAAGGAAAAAACACAAATCCTCACATTGTAGAAAAGGCAAGATAGTGACTGGTTAGCATTTTGGCTTGATAAGTGATTCAAACAAATATTCAATAATCAATATTGATGTAATCTTTCAAATGATGTAATCTTTCAAATGATATCAGTTGACTAACACATTACTTGTTCATAATTACCTTAACACTTAATATTTTCTCCCCATAAAAGAGTGCAACATCTTTGGAAGCAGTAAATGGTATGATTGTGGCTATGAGCTAGCGGATGCCAGTGTTCTCCATCCCGGTGTCTGGGTGTGTTTGCCTCAGAATCATGGCAGCAGTCCCTCACTCTGCCCAACAGGATAAACTGTCCTGCTCTGTTGTATGTCACCTTCTTCTGTTCATGGTCTTGCTCAAAAGACAGGATCACTATCACAAGGGACAGCTACTTCTGCCGGGGAATATACTGTATGTATGTCAGCCTGTCTGTCTGCCTCTTTCTCAGTCTCAATTTGTTGTCACGCATCACAACATGGTGTTATTTTCTAGGTTTCTTTTTTGTTCAGTTATTTTCTCACCCTGTCTTTCAATGTAGATGAAAAACTGAGGAACACTGATAAATCTCAGTTGAAACTAGAGATACAAATGCTTTAATGTAGAGTGTATATAGAGTATGTAGAGTGTAACTTAATCTTTCCTGTCACCCAGGGGTGGATCTAGGAAATTTTGGACAGGGCACAGACACAGAGAGGGGTGGCACATTTGAAATACATATAAAAAATAAATTAAAGTTCTATGAAATAGTAAACCATATATTATTAAGAATCAAACTGTTTATTTTGTGTAAAAATGAGGCACACGTGGTGCTTTATTTAGCTAACTGTGGCTGTGCTCCTTATTTACTCCTGGCAAGACCAGGGACATCACTGCTGCACAGTGCGCGGACCCCTGCCCCACACACACAGAGATTTCAATGAAAACAAATGTACAATGAAACAAATGCAAATAGCATGCTGCATATGCATGATAGATAATAAAACTAATTTGACCAATATCAAATATAAAGCACCAGAAAAATGTTAGTTATTTTTTAGCCAACAATTTGTCATTGTTTTTCATTTTTAGTTCATTAATACTGAAACATTTTGACTCTGGCAGGGGTGGCCAATCAGATTCAGGGGGTGGCCACTTCCACCCTTCGCCACCTTCTTGGTTATGCCCATGCTGTCACTTGAACAAAATGATGTCCAGTCCCCTTCACTGGCACAATGGCGCATATAGTGTACTTCCTGCCTTCAAAACAGAGGTCTACCCTACTTCTTTTATGTAGATTTACACAGGTAACCTTTTCATTAAAGATGCTTCCAGACAGTGATTACTGCTGCCACTGGGCAATGTGAAGGTTCTGTATGTTGAATAATCAGCAGCTCCTGACTAGCTCCAATCCTACCTATGACCTGAACCATTATCATTACTGACAACAGCTGTAAAGAGCTGTGTGTGTTCACAAAGGTGACTCTTTCTTTGCTGCTGCCACTGACTGTAGCAATATGGCTATCATTGTTTTTACACTGAAACAATACACAGTAAAAGCGGTGGTAGCTGCTTGCTGTCTGAAAACATTTTACTAGTTAGGCTGTGAGTGTTCAAGCCAAAGTAGATATCATTGCTGAGGCACCTAGGTTTTTCCATTAAACTCAGAAGGTAAAGGTAGTGTCTTACCCATTTAGGCTACAGCCTAGTTAGAAACCAGCATAGTGTAGTGTCAGATAATGCTTAGAGGTTCAGTGAATTGATCCTGCTCCACATACCCTGCATGAAAATCAGTGCAAGCTGACTTGAGAGACAACAGCTTGGTTAAATGCTTGGTGAACAGTAATGGGGTGGCTAAATCCACTTTTTACTTTGTCCTACAATGACTTAAACAAAATTGGAAATCTCAGTGTGAAAAATATAGAAATTCCTTCTCCTTGTGCATCCTTCTCCTTGTGTACTCCAGACATGGGAAAACCTGGTCTAATTTGTTGGACTAGACAGTCCAGATACTGCTTGGGTTAATTTAATGGATATACTGTACATAGTAAGGAAGCCGTCCCTGGTAGGCTGGTGGTTAAGGTGCAGTGCTCTTGCCGCTGCAGTCAGGGATGCGTCAGGAAGGGCATCCGGTGTAAAACACGTGCCAAATGTCAACGTGCAAGTTGTCAGTGTGACGATTCGCTGTGGCTACCCCTAAACGGGAAAAGCCGAAAATGACTTTCACTTTACATACTAAGGAGAACTTGATACTGTATCAAAAGATGCACACCTAGATGGCATCCTTAAACTCCAGCTGAGCTGGTTTTAAGATAAGTCTTCTCCCTAACTTAACAGAATGAAGCATCTAAGTGTTTAGAAATCGCTATACAATGTCTGCCCTGGTCAACACTTGTCTTTAGTTTCCTCAAAGAGACCATTCATATCTGGGCACAAAAACTACATTTAGTGCCTTTGAAAGTTTGTTTGGAAGCCTCTGATATGAGATACCTGAGCGGTTTAGTGTTAGCGCCACACATTAACTTAAGAAGTCAAGATCCCTCCTTCTGTTTGTCCCTCCAGTGCTCTTCAAATGGCTTTTTGTATAAAAAAAAAACAACCCGTGCCACAGATAAATGATTAATAAACAATAAAACTGATTTTACTGATTTTTTTAGGGATAGACGTAGGTGATGCTCCTTAGTTATTATTGAATATTGATATAAAACTGCTTACTACTTGAGGAGTGAAAATAAAAAAGATAAAGATCCTTCCTTGCTTTGCAGTACTGATCCCCTTATCTTGAGTTCCAAAACCCTCCATACATTGATCTAAGTAAACTAAATCTACAGTTAATCTCAACAAACAGATTAGAGAATCTATTGTACAGTTCTAGACAACTTCTATACTTTTGATTTTTCTGGGTTTGCAGTAAAAGCTTCCTCAGTTTCCTAAAGACCTGTAAGCACTCTGATTCCTAGTTTGTGCATGTACTGTACCCATACTTAACTGTCATGTTTGGCGCCATTTCCAGGTTAGTGGGTGGGCCGTCATCTTACCCTGTTTTTACTCTCTGGTTGCTACTGCTGATTACAGCTATCTGTTGCACCTGAGGAACTGCTGTCACCTGGACCTCATCACTGTGCCTATAAGATCTGTGTGCTCTTGCTAGATAGTCACTTGCTTGAATGCTACCTGTGTGTGTGTGTGTGTGTGTGTGTGTGTGTGTGTGCACATGGAGCGCATGCCCAGGCGTGCATGTGTGTGTAAAAGAAGTAAAATGTACTGTACAGTATATATTGCCCTTATGGCTGACTTTACTGACACCTTTGCAACTTTATCAGCTGTTTCTAATCACCTCAACAGTTACAATAAAATTCATCAAACTTCTAACAATAATATGAACAGCAGTCTTCATAAACACAATCATTAACAATGACTCTCACATCTTACTGAATAGCTGTAAAAAAAAAAGACTGGATTCTAGTCAGAGAGACTGTTCACAGAACTAGTAAGGCACCAGGATTGATCATGCCTGGCTGTTAGCCTGGTCTGGAGCAGGCTAGCTGCAAAGAATAAATCTTCATCGTAAATTATGTGTCACTGCTTTTGTGAAACTAAATCACGGCTAAATTCTTCCAGAATAAATGGAAAATCCCAGATTAATCCATGTTCTAGGTTTTGTGGAGCAGTCCTCTGAAATCTGACACAAAACAACAAAGACAGCCCAAACTATCATAAAATACAAAAGTAGGCACATTGTAAATCCCTGTGGTAGTAGCAGAGGTGTGTCTTTGTGAAACTCATTTGAGGAAACTGTAACTGAGTGAGTGACAGCAGCACACAAGGTCAGACTGACTTTACCTGCAGTGAGTAATGCCTGAAATATTGAAATTTACTATGGCTCTTGTGTTATTTTTTTCTGCTGATGTGTAACTGGATTTGATGCATTTGGTGCTGTTTGGAGCGCACAGCAGCATTCACCACAAGGACATTCACCTCCACACCAACACCCCTAAGGCTGAAAGGAAACTGGCCAAAAATCAAGGTGTAATTTGGACCCTTGTTACAAATTAATAGTTATCCTGTTAAAAATGTAATGACTAATGTAACTATTTTAATTACTTCATCAAAGTAATGTCACTTATTATAAAAAAAAAATTCAAATGGGCAATACAACTGAAAGGTCCCGATATAAATTTAAATTAGACAGTGTAAACCTCACAATAGTACTCGACTCTTATTACCGTCAAACCTTTATTAAAGGTTCTTCAACATAACTTCAGTTACATACAGGTAATATATTACTGTTGAAACATGTAGCCCTCTGAACAGGCACCAAGCAAAACCCCTTTCTGATTTCAGAAGGAAAATACTGTTGAATTTTCAGCCTTGAAAAATGTTCTTGTCAGACAACAAGATGATTTGATTGACAGACAAAAGGCAGTGCAAAGTCACACAGAACCAATCAAAAGCAATATTCAAAATTTAATCCATGCTTCCAAATGAATGGAGCCTATCTAGATGCAGAGACTGCTTCTTGTTAGCCATCCTACCCTTGATGTTGTTACTTGTTCCAACAGCTTTGCTGACCCATGTTGACCCAGGAAATATGCCATAAGAAGATGTGAAGCAGCAGAATGAATGTTATATATACATATAAGCTTTTTACCCAAAGGAATATATTTGGATGCAACCCCTTTGTTACTAATCAAAATGTTGGTCATGACCAACATTTTGATTAGTAACTGCAATTTAATTACATATTTATTTTCTCAGTACATGTAACTGATTATAATTACATTTATTTTGTAATTTAATTACAGTAATTAGTTACATGTCATTAGTTACTCCTCAACACTGCTTGTAGGTTATATATTATTTGCTGGGGCAGTTGTGGTTCAAGAGACAGAGTGGTCATACCCTCATCAGAAGGTTGGGGGTTCGATTCCCATTCTACACATGTCGATGTGTCCTTGGGCAAGACACTGGACCCCAAGTTGCCCCCTGGCAAGAGTGCTGCCTTGCAGGGACACCACAGTTATTGGTGCATGTGGCTGCCTTGGTTCAGTACCAGAAACAAATTCCTTGTGTGTATAACATGGTCAATAAAAGTGATTATCATCATTGTTGTTATATGTGAAGCGGAAAAATAGTGCAACCTCTACAATATGCCATTATAGGGGAAGAAAAACAGAGCTGATATGATTTATTTGGCCATGTTTTGTTACACAGAGGCAGGATGTTTGGACATAAATACTGTCAGCACTGACAAGCAATACGTCACTACAGTATGTCTTCAAAATGTTACAACACTAGTGGATTTGTAATATGTCCTTGTCTATTATTGGTCAGAGGTAATGAATGAATTTGTCAAGTGAGTCTTGGAAAGCAAAATGGGTATTTCTTTATTTGTTTATTTGTGTGTTTTTGGAATCTGTCACATAAAACTTTTGAGATCTATAAGACTGTTGATACAGTTATAATCACCCACCTTATAAGAAAACTCTCAGTCAGCCCCTCTCAGTCAAGGTCAAACAATCTCTAACTTTGTATTTAATGCCTGTCTCCATCTTATACCAACTCCAAACATGAACCATTTGTCTGGCTACATTTGTAATAATGCAATTTGAAAGTAATTTGAAAGCCCAAAATCTACGCTGTTATTGATGGCTATGTCAAGTGACCTAAGGGTACTCAAGCACAAAGTCGGCACACACCTGCCAGTTGATTTCACCAATTCTACCTTATTAATTCAAACAGTCTGACTTTCTAAACATCATAAATCACTGCAAGACTAACAGCCTAACCCCTCTCACCTTTTCTCTCCCTCCCACTTTTTCTCAACCTTATCATTCCTCCGTCTCTCCTTCTATGCCATCTATTCCCTCTTTAGTCACTCTCTCATTTTATCCTTTTTCCTCTTGCTTCTTTGGGGGGTCCAGGAAGTTAGTAGTATGCAGTCTAAATAGTGTTCTGATGAATTGGCTGTCTTCCACAGGCCTTAAGATTAGCCCAAGGGCAAACCCACTCCTGTTTCCTGGGTGCCATGCTGAAGATGAATAACTGTTTATTAACCCAATGCAGAGTGACTACGTCCTCACTTTATTACAGAGTAGAAAAAAATACACAGGCAGCTCCAGCTGGCCTGCGTAACACTCTCGTTACTTGTCTCCCTGTCTGTCACTCTTCTTGTCTCTCTCTCCATTTCTCTCTTGCTTTCTCCAGCAGATAAACCAGCAGCCTGATGTAATGTGACAGTGTGCGCTTGGTTCTTGTTTGCTCCCTGACAACCCAGGAAATTGGCTTTTCATCTTACAAAAAACACTGTGCTCTGTACATCAGAGAAAATTCATCTTATTATGAGGGGCTAAGGGTGATTGGAAGTTTATGCATCCATTTTAGAGCAATGTATTGACAGCAAGAATTACTAAAGCTTCTTCTGTGTTTTTTCAGTCATTGATGATGGCACATGTGCTGTAGGTGCCAAACAAGCCTGGAGTAGCAGTTTAAACATTATTTTAGCAAGTGCTTGCAAAATGCACCTCTCTCATTATCTAAAAGGCAAAAATGTAATGCGGGTTTATTATGTAGTCAAAAACTGCAATACCTGATTTTTGGCCACTTTGGGGCGATGAAAGTAAGTTGTCAAGACAACATTACCGTATCATATCATCTTTTAAGTTGCATATTTACACATCTAATAGATGCAGAGCAACACTTCCATTCATTTGGAGCCATGTTTCGGCCTCCTGCAAATGTAACTTAAATACTTATTTGCTTTTAGCTCTGTTTGTGGTCTACCAACTGCTGAGGGAAACATCTGGCTCTTTATCTGTTAAATTCTCCACTGTGTTCACGGGCTACTTTTAAACACTCTCTGTCTTCTGATTGTGTTGAGCAGGTTGTATACAGTGGGTTTTCAGTGAGAACGGCTGCAATGAAGAGTGGTGAAACAGTAGATTTACAGATTTACAAACTAAATCTTCATAAAGGGAAGACTTATTGCAGTTCTTTTGTATTAAACTGAATCAGTTTTTAACTTGGTATACCTAATAAACTACAAGCAAATTGTATGTATTATCAGATTATTGTAAATGTTAATCCAAAAATTGCTGGTTCTGCCCTTGTTCCAATTACTACATTAAATTGCTGCTGTTACACCAAATAAAATGCATAAGGGCAATGCACACAGGCAGCATGTGATGCACGTCAAAACACCTGCACCCATTATTTTCAATGCAAGTCCGCACACCAGGGGCGTCAGGATATGCTATTGTCCTATTTGCCTGGTGTCTATGTGTATTATAAGGTTATGGTGTTAGGACAAGGAGGCCAAACTACCTGCTGTCACATGCTGGTGAATTTGAACACAGGCGGCGTCTGATGTGCATCAAAACGCTCACAGCCTGCAACTTAACACAGGCTTCCTTAACTGTGACACTTCAATAAATGAAAAGACATTAACACAATGAAAATATGTGGCAATTAGTTTACACTGAAAACTCCAGTTCATTTGTAAACATCCATATATTCTCTTTTAGTTCACAGTCTCTTTTTGCAGCCCCCCCCATGCCTCTGTCTCACACCCGCTCTCTTTTGCTCCCACCTGCCCAGCATTGTGCCTGAGTCAATTCATGTCTTCAATAAAAACATTACAAAAAGCATTTGAAAACGCAACACATACTTCAAACTGTAGCATTTTTGTCAAAATACATGGGCAGAATGAATAGATTTGTATCATTATTGAAGTTCTTTGAAAAGATATGGTATAGTTAATCTTTTTCACCCACCCCCAATGCATCCCAGTGCACACTCTCTGTCTCTCTCCCTCGTAGCACCGTCCCTGTGTTAGTCACATGAACACCACAGTACATCATTAGATATGTTATATGTGTTATATTCTAGCCACTTGAACTCTTCCATTCACTCCTACATTTTTGTAGTTTCACAGTTCTTTTGTGTTTCTGGTTTTCTGTATGGATCATATAACAAGTTTGATTAGGCTTAGTAAACCCATATTTCAGCAGCCCTAACATTATGGCAGCTAGCCAGCAACAAGTAACCTTACTGTTCACCGTTTTCATAGAATGTTGAACTAAAAGGCACAAATGAATTGGGATATTTGTGGAACATTAGCATTGCATTGGCAAATTGCCGGGGATATTATTATTATATTTATTTAGCCAGGTAATCTCTGTGAGACACAGGGTCTCATTCTCAGTAGAGATCTGAATATGTTTGGTGGCCACAGCGGGCCATCTGCTGGGGATATATGGTGGCCACCGGTCATGGTTAATGTTGAACCCTGTCGTTTTTGGGGTTTTGCTGGTGATACTTACCTATACTGACATATTGTCAGACTGAGAACTGACTGGAACCCCGGCTTATTGAAACCAGAAAACCACTACAATATCAGTCATGATATTTCACATCTTTTAAAAATCAGGATTGAAAGCAATATTTGGAATAAGGAAAAGAATCACAAACAGATAAACCACTTTGTTTTACTTAACCAAGCTAATCACAGATGAACTGCTGAAAATAACATACAAGGTTTACTGACTTTCAGTGAGAAAGTAGTGAAGTAAACATAAAACCATATTAAGAATCATCCTACAAAGTCTGCTGCTTTCAAATGTACCGTTACTGCCTTGCAGAAACCTTGTAACTCCCATCACTGCGCTAACCTGCAGATGACATTTAAATAAAAAAAATAAATAAATAAAAAAGGCATTTACTGAACGTTTACCTGAGACTAAACCAAACCACTGAAAACCTTTTTAAAAGCATTTGTCTAATTTTGCATTTTGCAGAACAATTACATTATGCAAGTATTTGTGTGCACTGTGGATAGTGACTCAAAGTTTCACAACACCAAATCAAAACAAGTAACTGCAGAAAATGTGACCGGCATTTACATAGAAAAGCTTTCATTACCATGTAGTCTGAAGAATGTGTCTTGTTCTGTCTTCGAAGAAATATAGAAATATAAAAAGCAACACAGCCTTCGCTGGGAAAACAAACACGGAAATTGAATGTGCTTCTTATCTTTACATTGACTCTCCATATAAGGCATGATTTTATTTTGATATAAACTTTTTTTTTGGTCTTTGCACTCATTTATCTAAAAAGCTATGTGCACTTGTCCATATCTGGGGTTAGATGGAGCATTATATACAGCACTGTATCTGCAGACTTTTCATTATCACATCAGAAGATTTCTTTAAGATTTTCAGTTCAAAAAATAACTAAGATATTTTGCCATTCAGTTGGCCAATGTGTTCACCTTCTTTTGGTATAGACACACCACCAAGGACAGGACATCACTGACAGGCTTCTTACTCAGATGTTAAGCATAGATACACATTTCCAAATGCCAGAAAAAATTGAAGGCAGGAATTAAAAAGAAATATTCAAAGACAATAACAGGGTTCAGAATTATCAAATTTTAAACTGTTAAGCATAACATAACAACTCATTCACCACATATATAATATTATCCAATTTTTCCTTTCCCCAAGATTGTTCTGTAACCAAAGAAAATAGAAAGGGGAAAACTTCTTCCATTTTTGAAGACTCCTTCTGAGTTTTTCTTTACATATGAAAACTGTCTATAATTTTGCAAGCCAGAGATCTTGGCCCAGTGAGGTTCCAATCCACAAAGCCCATTGGTGTAAGAGAGTCTTACTGTAGCTTCGACCAGCTGTACAGTTTACCAAAAGCAGGGCAGTAGTAGCAAAAGTAAGCCTCCAGGCTGGTCCAGTGGAGGCTGTGAAACAGAGTCCATGTATCAGCTGTTTCCCCCACAAAAGCCTTTGCTTTTCATTAAAGGGGTCTGGTAGCAATGTCTGACAAAAATGTGACACCAGAAAACTGACCAAGGGTGACCATAAGAAAAGCCCAGCAGTCAGTCTATATATTTGGATGTTCAATTAATCTAGATGTTTTGGGTCAAGGAGGCCAACTTTGTAGGACCTGCCTTGTTCAGTCTAGGGTTGTCCTTGAAACAGAAACTCTGCATTCTCTGTATAGTACCACTCCTGAACCTGACGTGTGTGCCAACCTGACTAGCTGCACAGCTGCACCAGCTCAGGTTCAGGAGAAGCATTGGGAAGCTTGGAGTTGAAGACCTGCAGAGAGTCCTTGATACGTGCCACCTCTCCGACCGACAACTTGAGCCGGTGGCGCAGCAAACAGGAAAACAGGTCTAGTGGCTGCGGTGCTGGCGGAGACAGCCGATTAATCCGGTCTCTCATCTCCAACAACAACATAAAGGCAGCATCCTGTGTACCCTGTGTGTAGGGGTAGTCCAGCTGAAGAATCAGATCCTTAATGCCCTCAGGGTCAAAGTGCATGCTGTATCCAAACACTTTCAGCGTGTTGATCTTCATATACCCCAGATTGGATGTCTGGTCATCCAAGTCCAGTGGTTCATAAAAGAGAGTTTCATTCACTGTTGGGTCATCTGTGACAATGCGGCTTCGCAAATAGATGTGAACTGTTTCAAAGAAGGACTTCCATTTGCTGCCCAGAGACAGTGTCCAGTTGTAACACTGTGCTGTGACAACGGCGTCCAGTCGAATTCTCTCCCAGTCGGGGAAGTCAGGCTGGTTTACTGGCATGAACCAACTCTCTGAGTGACTTCCCCCAAAAGGATTCACATACACTGCAGGCACGGGCTCCAGTGTTGAATTCTTAGTCAAGCATATCTGGAAAGAAATGCCCATTAGCATGTGGATGAGATTGGACTTATTTTTGTTACTCTTGAGTGTCAGCAGCATTCTTTTCCTCCAGGCAGGATTGAACCAACTTCCCAGACGGACATCATTGCTGATGTAGATGGCATGGACCTCTATTCTGCTGTCCAGTCGCTGAAGTAGGTACTTCACCTGAAGAAGCATAAATAGACTATGAGGTTACATTCAATCTTACAGGTAAACAGATTATAACATGTTTGTTTTCATTCTTTGTGGGGACATTACATTGACTTACTCTAACCTTAGCCATAACCAGTACTTGCCTAACTCTGACCATTCCCCTAACCTTAACCTAGCCCTAACCTCACCTTAGTGACCCTAAAAGTCAGTGGGGACTGGGATTGACTATAAAATTGAGCAAATAATCAATTTAATAGGAAGAACTTTATTAAATCCTTTAAATATCCATATCTTGTTGTTACTAGCTGCCTTTGCATCAAGCCTCTCTTCACAAATTGCAAACACATTAAGAATGATTGTGAGCCAGTTCTGCTTTTGAATCTCCCTGTCCCTGACACCACAAGGTTTTGCTTGACTGAACTCTTGAATGAAAGAGAGAAATATTGTCCACTCATAGGTCCAAATTACACTGCTTATATTTCATGTTTGTAGCATCTATGCAACACTGTAGCATCAGTGTAAAACTACAATACAAACTTTTTGTTTGGCATTTTGTGTTGTATTTTCATGAGCTGTTATTATTGGACATATATGTTTGTGTCTAGCCACAAAGAAAGTGTGTGTTCAGTGTTTTCTTTGGTTTTTCTCATGATCTTGAGTGGTCATTATTTTGGTCCACTGAGATTTGAGAACCAACTGAATATATACATAAGAATCTCTGAGAACCTCAGCATCAGGTATATCCAAGTCAAAGTTCAGATAGTGATCCAGGGACGCTGCAATGCTCGGCCGGCAGGAACCAAGATGGAGGAGGCTGCCATGGTGACAGGCTCCACAGCGAGATGCGTTGTCAGCGGCGCAGGTGGAGCAGGAGGTGGAACTGGTGCCTACACTGCAAGGAATGACTCCCTGGCAGGTCAGCTGCTCCACAGGGCAGCTACAGCCCTTTATCTCCTCAGAGAAGGAGCCTAGCACTCCATGCTCATTACAGTAGAGGAGAGATTGAGCTATGCTCAACCAAAATCCAATAGACCTGCAGAGAGGAAAGAAAAACACAGTAATGCAGCTGTGTATACAGTACAAGGAACACAAAATAGGCAACTGTTTAATGAGTAATTTAACATCAGGTATCCTTGGGTATAAGATGCGTCACTGCATTAAACTGAGAAGCTAAACAACTGGAGGTCTGCAAAGATACTATTTTCAAGAAGCTGTTAATTTGTTCTGTAATGCCTGCATTCAGGGAGTTGTTCTTCTTATATTCCTTACAGGATAACTACGCCCTCACATTCCGATAAAAGCCTCTCTCCCAACAGATTTTTAAAAATGTAACAGTGGAGTAAAGGAGCAACGGTTAGGGTGTGTAGCCTCACTGGCTATGTAATGTATGATGTGAAGGGTTAGGTGAGACCGATGAGTGCTCAGTGCAGCATGGATAGAGTCAGAGCTATCTGCCATGAGAAGCTGCTGTCAAACATTCCTTTCCTCAGTAGGAGAGACAGGGAGTTTGGTGGAGCTTCAACAGCCACTATAAGTGGTTTATAGCCCTTTCAGAGAGTCACTGTGTGGACACATGCTAGGTGAGCTAGCACAACTACAAGAGGCTTTCAGATGTGTGTTTCTCTGGAAGCCATAGTCTGGAAGCTATACTTTTTATCACAGTTGAAATTATTGTTCATCAGCCCTAAATGTCTTGTTAAGCTCTGATTACAGCAGACTCCGTAGTTGTGTAAAGATGAACTGATACGGAAAATCATTACAACAGTCTGATATACCATCCATTCAAAAGCATAGATTCAAACCAAGTTCTGTTAAAAATGGTCTAAAGTCTCTATGGATATCAAAAATTGATCACTGGAAAGGGTCTTCTCTTTGTGCTTTGGCCTCCAGACAGACAGATCGATACTGTACATGGATAATTTCTTATCTTTGTGAGGAAAGCACTAACTCAGTTTAATTGTCTTACCTAAACACATACACTTCAAGTAGAAGTAAGTAAGTAAAAGATTATTTACAATATATAGCACTTTTTAAAACCAGTTACAAGGTGCTTTACAATAAGATAAAAGATGAAAAGGTGCAACAGTAATAACAAACAAACAACATTAAACCAAGTAAGCAACATTAAACAAAAACAAATAAAATAAAACACCAAATCATAAAACTAGTAAACTAGCATACAAATGCCCTAGTCAGTGCCAGTGACAAACGCCTGACTAAATAAATAAGTTTTAAGGAGAGAGCGAAAGACAGCCAGGTCTGAGGCAGAATGAATCTCAGGTAGAAGACTATTCCACAGTTTAGGAGCTGCCACCACAAAAGCCTGGTCACCCCAGGACTAAGCTGATACCACTGCCCCAGCATAGCACAACATAGAGGACATCTGATATTACCACTGTCATAGAACAGTTTAAGGACTGTCCTGTACATTCCCAAAGACCCAATCCTCCTCAGCAGATAGTCAACTCTGTCCTTTCTTGTAAAGGGCAGCGGTGTTGTCTGTCCAGTCCAATTTGCTGTTCAGGTAAATAAGAGGGATGGGCATTTTAAGCCAAAATGTTTTTCAATATTTGCTGGGAATTATTCATCAATTATTTGAAGATCACGGAACCTGCACACCCCACATTGCTGAGAGCTCCAGTCCAGCTACTCTGTGTTGGGTAGCCCCATAATGCTAATGTTGTCATGTGCAAATGCTGTGACTTTGCCTGTAAGTCCCCAGTGTTCCACAGGGGTGGAAGGCACCTTTGCTGGGTTTTCAGCAAGACACCTCTTCAACACTTGTCAAATGACTGTGCAGCTCACATGCATTATCATGGTACAGCTTATCTAGTCGTGCTGTGACCATTTTTCTTGATAGCTGTAGTCTGTGCATGTTTCTGCTGTTTGTATTTGGCGCTATAGTAAAATTATACCCTGACCTCTTTATAGCATGATTTCCAGTAAAAGAAAGAGAAACCCATAATCACATAAAAAAATATATATATATATGTATAGGCTAGGTACACCCTGGACAACCACTCTTACAGGCAATTGAGAGTCACCAATCAACCTAAGCTGCATGTCTTTGGACTGTGGGAGGAAGTCACAGTACCCATGGTGGCACAGGGACAACATTCAAACTCAGAAAGGCCCCCGGGTCGTCCCGGGCTTGAACCTTCTTGTTGTGAGGCAACAGCGCTAACCAATACACCCCGTGGTGCCACCTTTGCATTATAATTTTACACCTTTTAATACAAGGATGGGTGTTTGGTATGACTGCAGTAGAGATGAAAATTCCGATATACATGAATGACCATCCATTTTGGTGCTATAATAGCAAAAATTTCAGAGATTCTGCAGAGATTGTCTCTGCAGACTAAGTTAATTAAATCTCACACAACATTGCCCAAATGCTGCAACAGTTCCTTTTCCCAAGGCCTGTATGAATAGTCATGAATGATTGAGACAAAACAAATGGATTTTTATCAAGAAAAAGAGGGAGCTTCTGCAGCTGAGTTCATCTCTGATAACTTTTTGTTGCTGGTGCAAACCAGGTTAAGATTTTGAGTGATGGGTGAGAGAGAGAGAGACAGGGAGAGAGAGAGATGGAGACAGGAAGGTGACTAATGGAGCAAAATAAAGAGAGAAAGTGAGGCAGAGAGTGAGAAGGGGGGGGGGGGGAGAAGAGGGAGAGGACTATCAGGGAAATGAAAGTCCTCTCTAAACAAGTGCTGAGCTGTCAATATGTGAAAGACTTGATTACAGCATTTCACAATACTATGCATTCAACCCACACAGGCTCCCACAACTGATTACTAGACCCTTCATCTCCCTTTTCTGTTTTTTCAGTCTCCCTCCATCACCACATCATTCTTTCATTTACTACATTCTCTTACTATCTTTCATTCCTCTGTCTCTTTACTCCTGTATTTTTTGTCTTTGGCTGTTCATATCATTTTTACTCAGCTTCTTTCCCTCTCTTAACCTGCATTCCACAAGCCCGCCTTCATTTCTCCCTTCAACAGGGCAAAGCAGCACTTTCTCATCCCAGGGTGTCACACACTTTGTCAAATGCCTTTGGTGTATCATTCTGACACCAAAATGTGCCTTTGGCATTCATATGAGATGCATCAGGGTTGCAGTAGAGAACAGTGCTGAAAAAACTTAGAAGAAAGCAGTCCTGCTCACCACCAGTCAGACAGAACTGATGAAGCCTCTTGGATGAGAGGTGAAATGTCTTCTACCTAAAAATACATCCAGATGCTTTCTTCTAAGTTTATTCAGCATACTGACCTGGATGACTGAGAATTTGCACGGACAAGTAGAGAACAGTGTTCACCCATGCACATCAGTATGAGACACCAAAGGTACATCACAAAACACTGTGGCTTTACGCACAAAAAAACTCCATGGTTTGTTGTAAGCTAAGTTGTAGCTTGGCTTATAACACTCACCAATTAAAAGGCGCAACATCACACACTGGACTCAAATTCCACTTTCATGTTAGAAAGTCATGTTTGTCTGACTCAGTGGTCCACCCCAACCCCCTCCTAACAGAGACCTTCTCTCTTTGTACAGTGGATTATATCACCATAAAAGCACATCTGGATATGTAGATCTGGGACTGCCAATACATGACACTTGTGTCATGTATTGACAGCTTGTAAGGATATTTTGCTCAGAAATCAATCACAGGTATAGAATTTAATCAGGCAAGGGAAGTTTGGTAGCTGGTTAACACTTTTGTAGCTGGTGGCCTAAAAAAACAGTGGCACTCTTTTGACTGTGTGTCCAGCTACAGCGAGTGTGCATCAGAACAGAAAGCCCAGTTTTTTTTTTCACAATATGACTGGAAAAATTCAGTTTTCTCCAGAGTCTGCTGTCTATGCATATATGAATAATGCATTTCTTTACACCCCCAAGGGAAAGACCAATACTAGACACTTGATCTGTTAGCCTTACGTTTTTTTTTAACAGCAGACCATACTGACAGATCTCACTCACCAGGAGGAATACAACCAACTGACATGACATGCTTGTGTATCAGAAAATGTTACACAAGACGTATACCTAATAAAACACTTTGATCGATACTTATGTGTTTGTTGCTCTTTAATTAGAGTAGAGCTATCTTATTCCTTCTCTTGTTGCTGCTGGTGGGAATTTGTTATTAATGTAAGCATGCATAGTTTTAAAATGCTGTTCACGGAGCACACCTTGTGGCACGGTGAGCGCAGTTGTTTTCCACAAAAACAAACTAGCTCGTTAAGTGTTTATGTTTTATCGTGCAAACCTTTTTCTTTTTGCTGACCAGTTCTGCCTCCCTCTCATGTGTCTGTTCTCTTCCTCTCCACCTTTGTTGGGAACTTGAAATATTTCTCTTTGTGACATGGTTGGTGGTTCTTTCTCAGGCCACTGTTGTTGTATCATAGAATGATCCATAATTTGACATATCCTACTCATTTGATGACATTTCAACCTGCTGACCTCTTGACATAATTATTTATAATTCACCTTCAGCTGTTCCCGTTAGGGTTTGCCACATCGAATCGTCACACTGACGGCTCGCATGGTGAAGTTTGGCACATGTTTTTCGCTGGATGACCTTCCTGATACAACCCTGAATCAAACCCGGGCCGCAGCGGCAAAAGCGCTGAATCCTAGCATGCGACAAGTGGTGAGAAGCTATTTATGTATTATAATTAATGGTATTACAAAGGCCTACATATAAAACTGAGACAAATTGTGTGCCACAAACAAATGCTGTGGCTGATCGGATGTACAATGACTATCTATTGGCTAGAACAAATGTAAAAGTTTTCATTAACTGCTTGAGCCGTTATAGTGGCTAAACAACAGCCAGTCTATAATGTAGCATTTAATCATTCTGCATGCAGTTGACGCCAAACTTAGACACACCACCTGGGAGTGTTTGATTGATACAGGGATACAGGTATAATACTGGTATAATACTGTACATGTAGGCTACAGCTACAGTATCTCATAATGCTCAACAGTTTTACACAGCGAGGCATATTTACTGCTGTTCAATCTGCTGACAGCAGAGATGGCTTAAAGTTGAAAAAAGCAGAAATCACAGTGCCAGCAATTTACAAATACATATTTTGAATGGGGATCTGTCTTATGGGAGGAAATGGGTACCCCACTGGCTTGTTTCTCACTATCCTGGATGTATACATTTTTAGGGTTTGCTGAGTTCTTTCCAGACAGATGGCTCTGGATTTTCCCATTGTATCCAACTTGAGGCGACATATTAAACATAGCCTGCAGTTGTAATGAATCAGCACAAAATGGCTGCCTTAACTCCCTGTAATGACAAATTATACCTTCTTCATTCAGTTAGTTTTCTCTTAATATTGTATATCCCAGTTGGATACCTCTCTCGGGGCAGACTGATGTGCGGTTGTTTGGGGCAACGTTTGCTCAGGGTGAATAGCTTCCTGATGATCTTCTGGGCTTTGTCCAAGACCAGGGCAGTGCTGGACTCCAGCTGGGTGTAACGCTTTTGGAGGGACAAGTCAGCTGACCAGAAGTTGGCAATCATGGACACATTCAAGAACCGGTCAGTGGGCAAACGCTTCAGGAAGGCTTTGAATTCATCTGCAGTGAGTTTGGTAGAAGCAGGGAGGGGGATAGAAGTGGAGAAAGAGAAGATGAAAGAAAAAAGAGAACAAGATTAGATGTTGTCAAGTAATTTATATGTTAAAAAAATCCTTTTTGAAGACTGCAAAGCTATTCGGCACATACAGGCTATTTTATCCCAAGTGGCCTGACTAGATTTGACATCCATAATGACTGAGGTGCTGGGAGATTTTCCTGTATCATTAGAATACAAAAAAATGCTTTTCTGTTCTAATTAATTGACATTATGAAGTAAACACATGTGCTTCAATCTGCAGTTATACTCATTCACCTCACACGTAGAAGCTCATTACATTCATAATAGCATCATTTGCAACATTGTCATTTAGAAAAACTCTCATCAGACAACTGATAATATCTGTGTCACATATACATGGGCATTTTAATTTAGGTCATAATTCTTTCTTTAAAAGCCCAAACAAGTGAAAATCTATAATCATAAACAGAACAGAACAATAAAAGCATGTGGTAAAAATGGTCTCAAGCCCAAAAACACCAAATTCTGCACCTGTCACATCAAGTTTGTGTTAAAACCAGCTGAATTCAAAATGCAAGGTTTAATGAATATCCATTCATTCATGACTTTAGACTAATACCACCTCCATCAGCAACATCAGTTAAAACCCAAAAAATCCCAGAATCATTGAGACTTTTATGTGAAATTACCCTAAGCATGCTTACTGTCTCCTGAACAACAGGGGGAGTCACTCTAACCCTGTAAAGCCTGACACATCAAAAATTAGCTAGAACACACTTGATACATGGGACATTTTAGGGCGATTTTTTTTGCTCAGAAACTTGCGTAGCAAATATGATACAAATGGTTTTATACGATAAATGCGAGTCTAAACCCCAGGTGAAGGAGCATATCAATATTTCTAATATATTTTTGAGTTGGCCATACCAGGCACACCCAGACGCAACATGGCACAATGTGGAAAAGAGGCAGAATATGTTATTAGTGGGAGGAAACCATTATGAGCAGCTCTGAGACGGGGCAGACTACAGTAATGGCCAATTAAACCAGCTCCTCTCATCCTCTTTAAAATCACCACAGAAACCTGACTTTGGCTGATGTCATGATACAGAAATATAAGAGATATAGAATTATGAGGGAAGAAAGATTCTTGTCCTGTGTCTTCTTTTCCTATGAATTATTTACTTAAACAATTATAGTAGAAGTATTGCACATAAATATTCACTAGTAGTCTGCTAATATTACTGGCCAGCACACAAAGTCTTTGGCCCAGTAACCAGAAGTAATTATACTGTGTAAGTCACAGCAGCATCCAGTGTCTCTGGCGTTATTTGCATGTAACTTTATAAATATTTAATTGCATTTAAAACAGTACACACAAAAATATATTGTAATCACTGTGTTTATGGCATTGTACCAAACGTAATCAACATTTATCCCTGTGGAAGTAACTGAGATATGCCTTTGCAAAACTTAATTGTTTGAGAAAATTGCAACTGAACAGTGAGCAACAGTGAGGTCAGACTAACTGTACCTACTGTCAGCAAAGCCTGTAACATGACTGAATGGGACATCTGCTGGGTAATTACTTATCATGGCTCAGGATCTGTTTTCATGTGTTATTCATGTGTTCCTATGTGAGACATATGCAAAAACACAAAAATAACACAAAAGTGACATGTTTATATATGTAACAGGCAATATTGACAGCAGATTAGGTCAGACACACAGTTGCAATGCTGCTTTTAGAATAATCAGAATTTAATTTCTTTTATAGTTTATTGAAATGCCACTTATGATTTCAATACCTATCTTCTTGCATCCCTTCAAACTAAGCTTAGGGGCATCCACATCCATGGGATGAGGCGTTACTTCCATATAGTGTCAGTCAATCTTAATAGACTTTGGTTCAGCCAAACACAGCTTTTGTGAAACTTTTTTTGTTTTCTTATATTTCATAGTTTTGTGAATCATGTCTTTTGAAATGTTTGTGTGTTGAGAAATGTTGCTGTGTTTTCTAAAATGTTTATATATTTTGTAATATACAATTATGTTTTGCATCAGGGCCACTGTACCATAGAATAAGCTATAAAGAACCTCAAGGGTTTTACTGTAAGCAGTAAAACCCTTGAGGTGTTGAAATGGGCAAGTGTGTGTTTTACTGCTTATGAATTAATTAAACTACTGTACTCATATGTAACAGTAAGGTGTGCTGTACTGTAAGAAAGATAAACATGAAATATTAAGAAAATTTGCCTGGTTTACTGGACATTTTTACTGGAGTCTAACTAATGTTTTAGAACCTGCCAAGACTAGACACGTGGACATCTATTACACCTAGCCAAAAAGAAAAGAGAAAATGAGATAAAAGGTTTTTTTTCCCCCAAAGTGAGACCTTCTAGGATTGTTCTGGGTCTGCTGGAGAATCATATTCCCATGTGCTGTTGTTGGCAGAGAGACAGCAAGGAAAGCAGCCAAGTCAACCTGAGCTGAGCCCAACTGACAAGACTCAAGTCTATTACAGTGCTCAGTGATCCCAGATGACATAATGGTCTGTCTCTCTCCATTCTTCTCTTTGTGGGAGACTGCTGCTTGCCCTCGGTGTGATCTTTCTCTTCTGGTCTAGCTAATCAGGGTTGTCTAGTACTCTCTCGAGTTTCTGTCTGACAACATTTATTATTACTCCTGTTGGAGGTAACGCATTAATAGTATTAGTTTATATATAAAGTAAGTGAATAAGAACATTGCTACTCTATACAATTCCTTTTTTACATTATACATAGTCCTGCATATTCTTCCTAAATAATTCAACCTTCGTTTTATCAGTCCACAAAACATTTTCCCAGGAGAGTGTCAAGGTGCTCTTTGGCAAACTTTAGTCACATTGCAGCAATTTATTTATTTATTATTAGTATTATTATGGACAGCATCAACTCTTTATGAAACATGATGTTTTCATGTCTGATATCAACATGAAAACTTCATCCCAACAGTGAAGTATGGTGGAGAGAGCATGATGATGTGGGGCTGCTTTGCTGCCTCTGGACCTGGACTGCTTGCCACTGTGGAAGGGAAAATGAATGAAGTTTATCAGGGTGTCCTACAGGATAATGTCAGGTAGAATGTCCATGTTGGGTGATGCAACAAGACAGTGACCCTAAACACTGAAGTAAATCTACTACAGAATGGCTTCAAAACAAGAAAATCTGCCAAGTGGTGTGGCCCAGTCAGAGCCCAGACCTCAACCCAGCAAAGATGCTGTGGAATGACCTCAAGAGAGCCAGGCTCACCAGACATCCTAAGAATATGGCTGCACTGAAGCAGTTCTGTGTGGTCCAACATTATTCAGGTCTGATCAACAGCTACAAGAAATACTTATAGGAACTATTAAAGCCAAGGGTTCCTTTACTTTTTCCACCAGCACTTTGAATGTTTAATAGCTGGATTCCATAAAGACATGAAAAATAATAATTTGAGTGGTATTAGCTTAAGCACATTGTGTTTGTCTATACTTGTGATTTAAATAACAGTCATCTTATTTGCATTCTAATGTTTTATCTATATATGAATTTTAATGTGTTCTCTCTGTGTGCATCTTATATGCATTTTAATGTTTATCCATCTGAGTACATTGTTTTAAGCACTTTTTATTGTCTTAGTATATGAAAATGTACTATATAAATAAACTTGCCTTGCCTGAAGGACAGAAGGTACTGAGTACACAGGATACAAATGCTACCATTCTGGAGGTCAAATGTTAAATATATACTGCTGTTGCTCTACTACAATATGAAACAGAATCAGAATCTGCTTTATTGGCCAGGTGTGTCGGACACATGAGGAATTTGACTCTGGTACATCGACTCTCAATGTGTATGTACATATCCCCATGCAAAAGGCAAGTAAACAGTAAACCAACATAAGGCTCTGTAATATAACAAAATAAGCAGTATAAACAGGCAGCAAACAATGCAGACAGACAAAGAAACATGTCTCTTTTCAACTTTAAATAAAGAATCATGCAAAGGTAACTTTAATCCACAGCATCAAATCTCATCTGAAATGATCAGGTACAAAAATGGAAAAGACTAAATGTTTTTATTTAGTTGCTCATTTAGTTGCAGCTTTTTTGTTTTTTTAAATGCCAAAATAAACTCTTGTGATTTGTATAAAAAAACTTGTAATGAATCAATGGAAGTACAAACAATTATATTATAAGAATCAGAATCAGAATCCGTTTTATTGGCCAGGTGTGATGGACACAAGGAATTTGACTCTGGTACATCGGCTTGTAATGTGCAAACAGTAAACCAGCATAAGGCTGTGTAATATAACAAAAAAGCAGTGTTAACAGCAACACTGACAGAAACAAACAGTGCAAGCAATGCAGAATAAGCAGTATAAACAGACAGTAAACAATGGAGACACAAGGAATGTTCGTTGAAATAAGATAAATAGGGATAAAACAGAGTACTTAAAATTAGAGACCTGTACGAGTCTGTATAATCTGTACAATATATATATACACAGGTATTGCACTGAGGGCTATTGTCCAATCATACTGTCGTGGGTTAAGTGTTTATCAGGGTGATGGCCTGGGGGAAGAAACTGTCCTTGTGCCTGGTTGTCTTAGTGCACAGTGACCTGTAACGCTGTCCAGAGGGGAGGAGTTCAAACAGATTGTATCTGGGGTGTGAGGGGTCTGCAGTGATCCTCACCACCCTCCTTTTGACCCATGAGGTGTACAAGTCCTCCATGGAGGGCAGACTCACACCAATGACCTTTTCTGCAGTCCTGACTGTCCTCTGAAGTCTGTACTTGTCCTGTTTGGTTGCTGAGCCAAACCAGACAGTGATGGAATAATATCTTCCGAGGCTTACTGTCCGGACATGTCCCCGAATGTCCTGTATGTTTTTAGATACACACCACATAATCAACACTCACACACACATTGATTTTCTTCATGTTTTGACTATTGTTA